AGCATCTGCGCTGCCCTGGTTCCTCAGAGCAGCTGGGAGAGCCTTTCCTCAGCGTAAGCATGGAAGGTGTTCCTTCAGCCCGTATCAAACCGACTGCCTGCCTAATGCTGTTCCTCCTGTCTGCCTGCAAAACGGCCGTTACATGGTGCCAGCATGCACTACCCTCAAGTGTTGGGTTGGGGTTTTTTTGTTGTTTGGTTTTGGTTTTTTGGTTTTTTTTTTTTTTAGAGCATCAAAACTTATTAATTTTCAACAAAGTATGTAAAAATCCTGTATTGGGTACATGCTCAAAAGAACTACTGCTTTCCTGTTGTTACTGCAAAGTATTCTTTTCTACTCTGGACTGCGAGTAAACGTAAAATTCCTCACAAATACTGTGAAGCTTCACAAACAACGAAGGGGAACTGACTGTAACTTAACTTTTCTAAGCCTGTCTACCTAAGGCTTAAGAGTATCACTACTGGTGCTGGTTTTAGTCAGGACAGAGTTCATTTTCTTCTCAATAGCTGGCATGAGGCTGTTTTGGATTTGCCCTGAGAAAAGTACTGATAAAGGTGTATTTTAGCTGGTGTTGGGGAGTGCCTCACCAATTCAAGGTCTCTCCCAGCTTCTGACACTGCAGCTGCATTCCCAGCTCTGTCTCGCCACACAGTGCAGACAGCTGACCCAAGCTGACCAAGGGAGTATTTAATTCCATAGTACGTCATGCTCAGTATATGAGCCAGTGGGCTATAGCTCCTTTGTTAGCTCACTTGTTTGGTTAACTCGCTTGTTTGTTCGTGTTGTTTGTTAGCGAGTTGGTGGGCTGGTTGGCTCTCATTCGTTCCCTCGCTCATGGGGCTCGCTCAGACTCTGCTGCCCTCGGGCTCCAGCTCTCAGGCTCCCTGGCTCTGACTTTCACTACTCAGGACCTGGCTATTATTTTGATTACATAGTAGTATTGTTAATATTATTAGTATCACTATAATATTAATTTATATTCAACTATTAAATGGTTCATATCTCAATCCACAAGCCTCCTTGTCTTTACCACTGATTCCCCCCCTCTACTGGGAGGGGTGGTAGGTGAGCAGCTGCATGGTATTTACTACTATAAAAAATCCCATAGCAAACAGACCAACTGAGCTTATTAGAGAGAACTGTATTTAAAGGCAGCTGTCAGTATAGCAGAAGCTTGCTTTCTTAACAGAGCTTTCCTATTTTTCCAGTGCACCACGAGAAAAATCTCAGAAAGCTATTCAGGATGAAATCCGGTCTGTCATCAGACAAATAACTGCCACAGTAACTTTTCTGCCGCTGCTGGAAACTACCTGTGAGTATTCCTAACTTCACTTAAAAACAACAAAAAAAAACCCTTCTGCAAAACCTCAACGCTTCCGCTTTTTTGAAAAAGATTTTCTGCTAACTTCCTAAGGGTTTTAATTATTACATGTCATAGAGCATCACAGCATTTTGTCAGGCTGAGATGAGGACAGAACTCGGGATGGCTTAACTAACTTAGTGAAACTAGTATGTGTACTCTTGAGGAATGTAAGCTTGTTATTTAAACAACTAATTATTTTCTGACTGCAGCTGTGGACAAATAACCACTGAGCTCATACGAAGTGTTACACTGAGCTCAGCTCCACAGGATTTCATAAAAAATTTACATCACCCCTGAGAAAACTACAAAAGCTCCACACAAATATAACCAGGACTTGTTTTCATGTTTTAACTACTTTTTACATAAAAAGCATCAGTGAAGTTACATACCAGTCTCATTTCTGACAAGTGTTACGTGTCTCAGGTTCTGGAAGATGCCCTTTAACTTCCAACATGCCGTCATCTTATGCATTACTGTTGTTTCTACTTGCTTACAGGTGCCTTTGACTTGCTGGTATACACAGATAAAGACTTGGTAGTGCCAGAGAAATGGGAAGAATCAGGACCACAATTCATAGCCAATTCGGAGGAAGTTCGTCTTCGTTCCTTCACTACTACCATCCACAAAGTAAATAGTATGGTGTCTTACAAAAAGGATTCATTTCTCTAAGATGTGGAGGCAGGTTGCATATATCCTTTCTGTTCATAGTGCTCATCGTTAGTTGCTCTTGCAGTACAATACAGAAAACAGGCAACACGTTTGTCTGACAGTGTGCTGTAACACTAGACTCAGCTGGCATTCCTTTTAGACAGGTCTAAGGTATTCATCATAGTTAAAATTTTAACACTGTTTAGTTTGTACAGTTGAACTAGTCAGTGCAGTAGAAAAACTGCCTAAATTTAGAATTAATTGCTCAAATTGTGTGCAGATCCTGTAATTTAGTATTTTAAGCCTGCTAACAAAATGCAGTTTAAAGTAATCTCAGTTCTCTCTGGCACTAAAAGAAAAACCCTCACTCCTGCCATGCCAGTTTCTCTTGTGAAAAGCCTCGGCTGTTTTTATTACCAGAAACAATCCTAGAATGTATCAACAGAACAGTTTGAGTTACTTGTGCCTCTTTACGATGAAAGCAGCTGCTTAATATTAAATATATGAAGCTTTGTATATTAACGACTGCTACTCTCTAGTTCTGGGGAGGGTGGTGTTCTAAGTTGGTGTACATCTGTCTCTAGTGTCTGCCAAGCATTTTCTATGTTTGTCCTGTTGTTTTACAGAATAAAGCTTGAAATTGGACAGTGTTCTCTAATTCAGTTGGTAGTACTTTATATTCTTGACGGTTTTATGAATGCTGCATCTTGGTTTGTAACTGTCACAGAACTAATAATGTGCCACAGGCAGCCCTTCAAGTGTTTGCCGAGTCTCAGAACAAGTGTTGTGGAGTCTCACTAATCCATTCACTGATTAATCAAAGTGCCCTAATGATTAAGTGGGAGGGAAACTATTATTTCTACTGTTATTTGAAAACTTAAGTACTGTGCCTTCACATTTGTTAAATAGCATAGGCCTCCTCCTGCACCTGTATCATTTTGCACCAAAAGATCAGGAACTCAGAACCACGGTGTTTAGAAATTTCTGCCTCTCCCATGTTCTTGTTCCGTTTCTTTCACCAAGTTCACTCTGGCCATTTGACTTTGCCTCACTCTTCTAGTGTTACATACAATTCATACCATGGTAACAGGACAGCTCCAAATTTTATTTAAAAAAACATTGATTATGTATATTCCACCGCTGTATTACAAATCTGAGCTTTCCTATCAGGAAATTATTCTCTCCAGCAGTCCCAATCTAGCAGAATTGAAAAGGCAGCCTTTTGTAAATCAGTAGCCTAAAATCATGGCTTTGCATAATAAATACAAGCTACATACTTCAAAAAAGTGTTACATTATTCACTATTCAAACCTGCATTGCAGTAACAGAGGAATACCTAGTGGCTTCTGCCTGGCAGCAGCAGTATTCTTCAGACAGGTGGCTGCACTACCTTTACACCTAGAAGGAGGTGCACTGCAAGGAGTACAACTTGAAGCACTTCCCCGGGGGAGGACTGATCCAAGCAGTGTGTGCTTGTAACAGAAACTGATAACCACTACATTATACCCAAGATGGGATGAGGAGGTGGCCAGTCCAAAGCCAGCATTGCTGTGTTTTACAGAGATGCAGAAGTCTGATTGCTCAGGGAAGCTTTGTTCTTGTACCAAATAAAATTCATCTTCTTCAAGGACCAGCCCAAAGTTCATCTCCACCATCATCTGTGTATTTCTCTTTTTTTTTTTTTTAAATGGAGGCACCAACAGTCAAGAGATACAGCATATCATTGCATAGAGGTCATGTCCATGAAAACAATGTGAAAAAGTAATAAATCCTGAAGTTTTCACAAAGACCCTGCAGAATAGGAAAGAAAAAAAACCCGCAACAGTCCTTAATGCCCATTAATGCAATCTCCCACAAGTCAAGCCTTTACAGAGGTAGCCAACTGGATTTGTTGATACCACACTCTTCATTAGTCTCCCCTACCTTGAGGGTCACTTCTGTAGAGTGAAGAATCAAAACCAATGGACCCCCCCTTATCTCCGACGGCAGTACAGTTATTCTTAGGAACCATGATAAAAGAGAAGGTTGAGAAGTTACACAGCAGGCATTCCTCACCTGACTAGTTTAGCTGACGTATAAGCTGATTGATTGCTTCACCTCTGCAGCCAGGCTTACCCATTTCCTTGAGGAAACCCACTTTGTTACGGGAAGCATGGCGAGCCACCGACAGATGGAATGGCCATAGAAAGTTTGTGACTTTTCTGAAATACTTTCCAGCTGAGTAGATTTCATGAATAAGGTCCTCCAGGCAAATAATACCACAGTTCCCTGCAGGAAAAAAAGATTTAAACCCCAACAACACAACAAAAAGCCCCCCCCCCCAAACATACACACGAGATGCCCAACTGTATTATCCTGCCTCAGGCTACTTTAGAGTGGCAGTCCTCCATATACACTTCTTACAACTTTTTTCTCCCTCCCCTTAGGTCGGATTGCAAGCTCTCGACATCACCCTTTTTCCTTGATTCATTTCATGTTCTCTTCCTCACCTAAATGTTCCTCTATCAGCATATTGTCTGTCAGAGGCATCCTCTTTTTGTTAATCTTGGCTTGGCCCCGTTTCAGGATGAGCTCTCGTACAGATTTCAGGTTAGGGTGTCTGTGCAAAAACAAAAATCACATTCTGTAACGCAGAGACATGATGCAGCAACGTCCCATCCTACTTCTTCATGCAGAGGTGGGAAAGTAACCCAAGTTACGTTTTGAACATTAACAAGTTCTAACTATAGAGTTGATGAAGTTTTGATCATTACTGCAAAAGTCAGCTATGGATTTGGGATACCAGGTAAGAATCATAAAGCTACGATACTCACATACAAACTACTGACAAGTCACTGGACTGGTACTTACCCCCACGCCACGTACGGTTCCACAATCCGCAGCATCTTCAGCGATAAAGGAGTCAGTTTAACAAATGTCCCCGTGAAATTTTTTCTCAGCCGCAGCAACTCAATCACTTTTTTCACCCTCTTGCTCACTCCCTTAATACTGAGTCAGAAAAGAAAAAAAAGCAAAACCACTATTAGTAACCACATTTCTCTTACAGAGCAACAAAAGGTCTCTGATTACCTCCAAGGAGACATGTCAAGAAATGACATGACTACTATAATAAGTAGTAGCAGTAACAACAGCAAGGAGTAACAGAAGTTTCTTACTCTGCAATCCGCACAACAAAGGCTAGTTTGTGCTCCTGAGGCACAGCCACCTGTCCGGGTCTCTGCTCCATGCGCCTCAGCCGGGTGTCATCTCGGTGTTTGCGCCACGAATCTCGAACAAAAGCCTCAAGGCGTTTAAACTGGATTTGTTTCCCCCTCTGGTGCTAAAGACAAAAAGAAAAAAAATCATCACCCTTCCCAGAGGTTTGTATCTCAAAGTCAAGTGAAATGCAGAACTGGGTAACTTTGGTCTTTCAGTTTTGGAGGCAGCAAGGGGAAACAAATTTGATAATCTCAGCCCAAGAAAGACAGAACTGAGGGATAGCCAATGAATTCACACACAGCTAGCTAGAATTTATACACAGTGAACAAAGAATTTTTCCCCAGGAAAAAAAATAAAAAGGAAAAACAGAGCAAGACCCAGGATACTTCTAGGCATAGGAGAAATCAAACGGAAGCATTTGCAGCCACAGAAAGACAGATCTTTACAACTACATACACAACTCAGCCAATTGCTGGGAAAGCAACACATGGGTGAAACATGCTACTGCAATACCCTAGTGTGACAAGATTACCATCCAACAGAAAATAACTGGGTTTAAAGTTTTCTATAAAGGCACACATAAAAAAAAACCCAACACACCAACATCCAAGCATTTAAGTAACTATTAAGTATTACTAATTTAAACACAAAACATTCAGCTCACTTGAAAAAAAAAGTCTTTTTAGAATTATGGGAAAATTTAAAGCTTTTTTAAAAAACTAAAGAAGCTTAAATGCCTATCCATAGCTCAGGAACAAGTACACGCACCTAAATCATAGTGCTTTCTCCTATGAATAGGAGCTGAATGTGCATGGTAGTTACCCAGTAATATTTCAGATACAGTACTGGCTAAATTATTCGGTCATTTCAAAATTACAGTATCTAATGTTATGTGTCTCCTGACCTATTTCACCTTGTAAATCACCCATGAAACTGGTGTGAATTTACAAAGCGGGTAGATCAAGACTTCCTCACTAGCATCATTTTCCTAACGAGAATCTTAAAAACTGGCCGTTTCACATTACTGCTTATGCTTCCACCTTAGAAATACAGGAAGCCAGTCATATATTTAAAAATATAAACAGCATCTAACAAAAATGTCACTTTTGCAGGTAACTGCACCAACTCCACAGGAAGAGATTCACTGAGAAATCTATAAGCCACTTGTAAGACAGACACTTACTGCATCTGAGATACAGCAGAACAGGCGTCTATTGTGAAACAGAAGGGTTTGCTGTGCTCTGCCAGTCTGGAAACACAGCCCGTGCATCGGCAGTCTGCAACAGCAGCATGTGCCACCCCACAGGCAGAAAAAGGCTTCGCGATGACATGCCTATGCTCTGACAGACTTACCTGGCAAATGGCAGAGAGCGACTCTAAAGACACCCTCGCTAAAGCGCACGCCTTCATGAAGGCTCACCGCGCCAAGGTGCACTGGTGTCAGACGGTGTCACGCCCTGGCAGTACGCACAACTCTGCAGCATTCCGTTTTACCGCACACGTACCTGAACTCAGGGTCTTCAATACGTTTGTGTCTCAGTACAATAACCCAAAAAGGTTTCGTCCTCTTGAAAGGGCTCAGACACATGGGGAAGAGACTCAACAACTGAAGCAAGGAGATGAACTCAAGCTTCCCCTCAGGGATAACCCGGAGGATCACCGCAGGATCAAGGCAGACTCCCGGCT